TACTCAGTAAAGAATCTTTAGTATATTTCTTAATTTCTTACTGTAGTTTCTGTACAGTAATTTTGTATTCCTTTATGAATAGGATTAGATATAGATGTTTTGCCTCATCTGGAGGATGTTACAATCATGGCACATGGTATTTTTCCTTACGCGTCAGAGTTAAAAGACCTCACTGTGTGTTCTGTTACAAGACTTGTTCTCTCCTTCACTTTGGGCAGAGCATCTTACCTTTCTATATACATCACCTTACATAAAAAATAAGTAAATTAATTCAGAAGAGAATGTACTGAAGAACCAGTAAATAATTTTTATGATTACTAAATTACAAATAATGTTTTAAATCCAAAATAATTGAGATGCCAATGAGAAAAGTTGAAGACAAAACTCCCAGTTGGGCGATTGATACTTGAGATGACCAAAGTCTTTCAGCAGTGTCTGGTTTTCACATTCCAGGAATTCTGTCTCTTCTTATACACTGGAAGCAATAAATATATTTTCTGCCTTGGGAACTCATGGCAAAGCAGCTTTGAGGCAAGCCAATGCACAGTCAAATTTGATGGGCTGAATCAACTTATGGTCCTAAACTGACAGGTGGTTTTGAGCAGTTCATGAGGCATTTAGTTAGTGTGGTGCAAAATGCAGCCTACAGGTCAATGATATTTGGATAATCAGCAATTAATAACCAATGGCCAACACTGTTATCCTTGCTTTTGCCAGATAATACCATTCTTTTTGAGTTGTCCAACTGAAATCAATTAAAATACTTTCAGATTGAAGACATATTTGCTGTGAAGTAAAGGAATGATAAAATCGGCCTGGTACAATGAGTCGGATGTTTTGGTCTTTGTCAGGAAACAGTATCAGAACAAATGCACAATTACTAGGGGGACACCCCCCCCAAAACCTAATGTCATAGTTTTTGAATGTGTTTTTAGATTTTTTATTATTTTCTAGAAATGTTCTACCGTGGTATATGGCTTGCTTCTGTTCCCACGGAAGTCAATAGCAAAATTGCCAGTGACTGATGGAAAAAGCCCATGAAAAATGTCTCAAAAGCATTGGTTTCATTTTGGTAAATTGAATTTGTTGGCCAAAAAAATAGACTTATAATTGTTCGCTTCAGTCGTAGTTACAGAGAGACTGGTGTCTCTTTACATCAATTTCACTACATTTATTCCTTCTAACATGCTCTAAAAAAAGATGTATTACCCAAATTTGAAGCCAAAATTGGAAGATAAGCTCTTAGCAATATAGAGAAACAGAATCCAAATTCAATGTGCAAGAACAATAGCAAAAAGCTCAATGCTAGCTCTTGCTAGTTTGCATTAATATTTTTGTTATGCTTACAGTGCTTGTTTTTTCAAATATCCCACTTGCCTTTTTTTGACTTTTAACCCTAAACTGTTTCCCTCTCAGAAATTTCTATGTATAAGTAATAGCAATTTTGTATTGAAGTCATTGTTGCTGTAAAGTAGGGCAAGAAGAAATGTTTGCTTCTTGTAGTGTGAAGGGGGGGTGGTTTAGTTTTATATATCTTTTTTGGGAGACTGCTATCAGTAAATCAGTATGGTTTGAGCAAGTTGTTGGTTAGGTTCAGCTCTTAATGCTTGGGCAACGGCACAGAACCACTGTAGAGTTTGGCTCACGTGTAAGCCACTATTTTATTTTTTTAAATACCTTTCAAAAGAAAAAGCCCATACTTCACAGAATCTCAAACCTGGCAACTATTTACAGAACTGTTTTCTTGTGCACCGCTTGCTAGCATTGTGTTTGCTTCTTGCAACAGCACCTACGCTTCCTGAGAACCTTAAAAACATGCTTGAAGTGCCAGATCACTGTCCTCCTGTGCCAATACTAAATATAAATTTTTCCACATGAGTCAACTGAGTGAAGATCAGATGTTTTAAAAAGGGTTTGATTTTCATTTGCCCGAAGGCTGCTCTGCTAAAAAATTTTTGGTGACCTCATAGCTGAAAGTGACTGAAAATTTGTCCTTTTAGCTATTAAATAACTCAACTGTTCTGCACAGCTTTGTGAACTAGGATTATAATTTTTGTGTTCTAATTTTTGTAATTTGATTTTTGATTTATATGAAAATTGCATAGGCCTTGAGATATCACTGTTGGTACACCTCTTTGGCTAAAATTTGCCTAATGCATTTCTAGGATATGAAAATGCTGTTAAACTAGATCAGCAGTCCCTGGTATGCAAGGATAGAAGGAGAAGCCTCTCTTTGGGTGCAACTTCATCTTGTTTTCTCTCTGAAGTTCTGAAACAAATATGCTGTGCAGCTTGTTTCTTTCTTCCTGCAACCTCTGTCTTGTTGTAGCTGGCTCTAGCACAACACATCATCTTAGGCTTCTCCTATCAGGAACTTGTCATCCTGAAAAGAATAGAGAATTTGCCAAAATGTTCAGGCTACGTGGGCACCTTTTACTGGTGGAACAGCCATGCCCTCCCAGTCATGCCACTGGGATGCTATGTGGGCTCTGTGGATATTATGCGTGATCTGTAGTTCTATGGGAGACTCCTTGTTGGAGATGGAAGCTCATCCATAAGATATGGATGAGATTCGTACTTCCAAAAGTGCTGATAACTAATGAAGTGAAGTCATTCCACTTTCCATAGTATGGCAAGCAGAAAAGGTGTCTGTCACTTATGAGTCATCACAGATCTCAGCTCCAGCAGGAGGGTGTTTGTTAAGGTGCAGTATTTGGAAGCTGGTGGCCGCAAGGCACAATGTTATTAATTGTTTAGCTGCCTCTGTGTGAGTATCTGGGTTCAGGATGATATTCTTGCATGGATATCTGTTGTGACTGGAGAAGCTAGAGCTCCGTCTTCAATATGTCATAATTTCTTGAGCCTGCAGTCATGTCTGAGTGTTAGTTAATGTATTTTTGTCCTGATCTCATTTAACATGGTGCAGGACAGCACCTTTCTCCACACTCATCTAAAGCTAGCTATGCTGTGCTGACCCTTGGTGTGCTGTCATCACAGTGTATGTGGAAGGGCAATATTTCAAAATTAGAGAGAGGGTGGTGGAGAAGATAGATGCTAGTTTCAAGCAGACAACATCATTCAGGGAACGATTTTATCTAAGGTTAATGGAAGATCAGACATAGTATCTATCAGCTGAAGCAAGATCAAAGTAATCTGTTTAAGCATTGAGACCTATAACTTCATTCCTGAACTGTCATGAGGTACTGATGATGTACTTGCAACATTTTGGTAGTGTTTGACAGGTAGTGTTTGACTGTTTATTGATACAAATGTCCTCTGTGCTGCTCTAAGTATCTATTTTTCTGTTCTTGGGTGAAAATTAAAGGTTTGGGTAGAGAGAAGTAAGTGAGAGAAAGCATCTAATACTCACAAAGAGGTAACACATGTACCAGTGGCTGAGTAAACAGGAAAGAGAATGGCCCCTGTAGCTGTGGTGGGTTAGCCCTGGCCAGCAGCCAAATGCCTACCCAGCTGCTCACTCCCCCCTGTATCAGTGGCATGGGGCAAGAAAATAGGATGAGAAAGTTTGTGGGTCGAGATAAAGACAGGGAGACTGCTTATCAATTACTGTTGCAGGCAAAACTCAGCTTAGGGAAAATTAATTTATTGCCAATTAAAATAGATTTAGGTAGTGAGAAATGAAAGACATTAAAACAACACCTTTCCTCCCATTTTTCTTGGGTTCAACTTCACTCCTTCATTCCTGACAACTCTAGTCACTCCCTGCCCCAAGTGGCATGGGGGGGAGTGGTGTTTGTGGTCAGTACATAGCAGTTTTTCCTCACCACTCCTGCCTCCTCACACTTTTCCCCTGCTCTGATGTAGGTTCCCCACGGGCTGCAGTCCTTCAGGGAAGAGTCTGCTCAGCGTGGGTGCTCCATGGGCTGCAGTTCCTTCAGGACTATCCATTGCCTCCATGAGCTGCAGGGGAGTCTCTGCTCTGGCTCCTGGGGCACCTCTTCCCCCCTGTTCCTTCTCTGACCCTGGGGCTCACAGGGTTGTTTGTCACTTGTTTTGTTCCTCCTCCTCTGCCTTTACGGTGTTTTCTGCCCTTTCTTAAATATCTTTTTGCTGACAGGCTCAGCTGTGCTCTGTGGTGGGGCCGTTGACGGAGCCGGCTGGAACTGGCTGTGTCCAGCTCGGGGCAGCCCCAGCCCCTCCTCACAGAGGCTGCCCCTGCAGCCCCGTGCTGCCAGACCTGGGCGCTGCACCCAACGTGGCAGCCCAGAGTATCTATGTTAGGCCCTGGGTAGCTCCTGCCTTCATCAATACATTTTTTTGTACCTGGGATTCAACAAATATACTGAAGTTTTTGTCCAGATGAAAAGATTAATACCCCCGGCCAGAGTCTTGTGGCTGAAAGTGTTTTTTGGTCAAAACATTTTGTATTATCTTTCAGTCGTCTTTGAGAGCACGACATGAGCATGTGGTTGAGCTCTGTACCATCTGAAAGGTGCTGGTTCGTGAAACTGGGTTGTCTACCTCTTCAGTGAGGCCACCATCTTTGAAAGAGCGACCTGCTTTTAAAAACTAACTTGCAAAGTCCTTAAGCTAACTGCGGGATTTTTAAGAAGTACTGATTATAATACGGTGTTCAGTGGTATTTGTGTTGTATGGGAAGTCCCAAGGAGTTACTTGATAATGTTATGATATTATGCAAGATGGGATAATGACCCCTTGTCAAGGATTTGTAAACTTTGCCTGAGAATTGCTGTAAATTCCTTAAGCCTTTCAGTAGGGGTTTTTGAAATAATGTAATACCACTTTCATCGTCTGTGAGAATGCAGAATAATGTATTTGTGTTTGTATGGGGTAGTTGTTAGGAAGGGAAGTAAAAAAACTGGGAGATCTGTTGGATTAAATAGTGATTGTCAACAGATTTTTTTGCTGCAGAGCTACTTTGGAATGAGGGTGTATTCATTCACTCTTTCTCTCACATTTTTCTTTATTAAGGTGCAGTTCAGCTGAGATTGAATTCCTCCTTGGCTGTCCATAAACTGTGAAACAGAAGGATGCAGAAGACTATACTTTGCCTTTTTGTACATGAGTGATAAGAGCACAAGATCATTACTACAAGTTTGCTGCAAAGATGAGTTCAGAGGAGAAGAGTGTATCTCCAGCTCACAAAACGTCCACTCCATCACATAGAAGTGCCTCCTCTTCATCATCGTCTCAGAGGGACAGGAGGCAGGTAAGGAAAAGATCTAGACGTTTGTAACATCTGGTGAAATGATTCGTTTATTCCTGTAATGTGGATGTTAGTTCTCGCTAGCTCTAAGTTCACTTGCTTATAGCACTGGATGATATCACTATAGCCAAGAACTGTTGATTTAAAAAAAAATTTTTTTCCACTTTCTAAAGTGGTTTGAAAAAGATTCAGAAGCAACGTGGGCCCTATGTGTAGCACTGGAGCGGGAAGGATATAGTCATGTGGCCAAGTAGGAAACATGCTTTGAAGTCTTTTGGGAAGTGGTTTCTTAGGTTCATGCTGCCAACAGTTGCTTCAAATTGTTTTGTGTCTGTCCTGGTTTCAGCTGGGATAGAGTTAATTTTCTTTCTAGTAGCTGGCATAGTGCTGTGTTTTGGATTTAGTATGAGAATAATGTTGATAACACACCGATGTTTTAGTTGTTGCTGGGTAGTGCTTACACTAGTCAAGGACTTTTCAGCTTCCCATGCTCTACCAACTGAGAAGGCTGGAGGTGCACGAGAAGCTGGAGTCGAGGACTTTTCAGCTTCCCATGCTCTACCAACTGAGAAGGCTGGAGCGAGAAGCGGGGAGGGGGCACAGCCAGCACAGCTGACCCAACCCAGCCAAAGGGACAAAAAGCAATTGCGCTGTGCATCACTTGCTTTGTATATTCTTCTTATTGTTATTACTAGTAGTAGTAGTAGTATTTTATTTTACTTCAATTATTAAACTGTCTTTATCTCAACCCACAAGTTTTCTCACTTTTACTCTTCCGATTCTCTCCCCCTTCCCACCGGGGGATGTGAATATCTCTTTTTCAAACTACAGAGATGTATTATCTTTTTACAAGGTGATATTTCAATTCAAATATCATATTGTTCATCCTTTATGGAAGCACCTAACATTTTAAATATTATTTGGTTTACTACAAATTTACACTGATTGTCCCACGTCATATAGTACTAGTCCAGTTATGTTAGACTTCCATTTTCAAGAGACCCTTGCTTATGTGGATGTAATACGTCTTTTCTCCAGGATCCCATTGAGATGAGGGCTGTATTATTTCTCCTCAAAACAACTTAGGCATTCCTGTGTTTTTTTGAGGGCTGGGTGTACAGTCTGGCCCCAGCATCAGTGGGAGCACTTCAGAAAGTATCAGAGCTACCCACTAGATTTCAGATAGGTTGTTACATGTATATTTACAAATGCAAAGGTTGATACCGAAAGTTTGATTAGAACAGAAACATACTTTAAAACTTTGATCCATGGAAACCTTGAACACTAAAACAACTTCTGAGTTAGTTTAACATCATCATGTTTAAAAAAGAAATGTACAAAATGTAAGAATATAATAACTTTATAATTTAAAATATTGTGAAAATATTTTCATTGATGCAATACTGGCTTCTTTTCATCTTGACAAGGAAAAGAGACAGGAAAAGAACTTAAATAATTGTTTGTTGTGGTATGCGTTTACTTGAATCACTGTAGCTTAAGAACATTTTCCCAGCTACTTATATGCCAGCTCTGACGCTATTTTCTCAGCCGCTGCTGAAGTAGTTTTTTCCCATACCTGACTTATAAAAATTTTGAAAACTGAGAATTTTGATGAAAACTGTAACATTTACAGCTTTGAATGTAAATAGTCTCACCGTAAAGTATGTTTAATATGTGAAACCAGGAGAAGAATTCTGATGTGTGTTCGATAACAGGCAGGAAATGTGTCTGGAATTTTTTTAATCATTTCCGTTGCTTTTCAGTGAAACCAAAAATGATGTTCTCACAGGTGACAAGTATTTTCCCTTTCATGCTGTACAGGATTTGGGATAGCTGTACTCAGTTAAGTCCTGGTTAGCATATGATCTCCTCTTAATTTTTCATTAGTTCCATCTGGAGCAAGAATTTTCACATCTTTTGTTTAAAGAATCAGTATATTTTATCTCCCGCATTTAAACACAAAGAAGGTGAATGCAAAACTTGTAGGAGCTGCTGAGCTCAGCTAGGAGCATATCTTCTGAGTTCTCTTTGTAATTGGGTAGTTTGGTACGATCATGCAAGTGAGAATTAAAAAAAATTACCTTTGGGGAATATGTTTTACCGTAAGTCTAATGGGTACCATATCTGTTACCACAGCAACGGGGTAGAGCAAGGTATACCTGTCATCATAATGAAATGGATGCTTAACTTTAAGTCCATATTTGGTCACTGAAACATGAAGCATGATTTTAAAATAACGCTGAAGAGGTCGATGGTGTGATGCATCCAGAGCTCTCTTGGATCCAGTAATGTCTTATGATGTTTAGCAAGTATATTTAGGCATGTAAATGTGGACTGGAAAGGCTACTGCTAGGCATGCATTTTTTTGCCTTAGTGCTTTCAGTGTTAAAGGCAGAGAAATATCCAGGAGAATGAATGGATGGGCAATTTGTTCTGCAGTGAAACTGAGCTAGAGCATGCAACACAGCGTGAGGTGCAGTGGTACTATAACCAGGGAAATAAACATACGAATGTTTCCTTTGTGCATGTAGACACAGTAAATCAACCAGCTTCATTGTACCATATACTATAACGGTTGTATTTCTAATTTCTTTCCTTGCTTGTGGCATGATTTATACATGTTTTGGTTTTCATAGGTTTTCCCCTAAACGCAATGATAGCTAGGGGGTAGGGGATTTTGGTTTGGGGGCTGTTGGGTTTTACTTTAAAAAGGCTTGAAAATTCTGTCTTGCTGCCTCCTTGGACTCTTCATAGCAGCTAGGAGAAAAGCACCCTTCCCGAAGGGATAATATGTATGGATATGGAAAGTGATGTGACTGGATGAAGTGTCAATGTAGCTTTCATTGTCATATGTGAGGATAACACTTGATATTTCTAGATTTTTAATGACTGAAATCTTCTCATCATATAATTCTTGTCAAAGTCATACCAGCTATTATGGAACAGTTTCCCAATAAATTACGGCGCAGGAGGCTGAATGAGTGTGAACATGACTATGATAAATCATTTCAGGGGGAGTGGAAAATGTCGTGCTGTATATAATGCTGGCGTTTTAATGTAGCTTTCTTATTTGTGCAATATACATCACCTAAGAGAATTAGCAGTCAGCAAAAGCTTTGACATTGCCAATTTGCAGGCTCCATGACTAAGTAATTGATAAATGAACAGACTACTGAAGCCAGCAATAACCAAAAAACTGGGTTCAGATTTTTGTCGTCGTAGGAACTTTAGCGTCATTCATTTTCATCAAAATTGTTGTTGATTTGGACTATTAGATAGAAGGCGGCCCAGGACCAACCTGTTTTGTTTAACCCCTGGGCTAAGCAGTGTGGCAGGGCAGTTGTGTTGTCCTTGATAAGGAATACTTTAGAATGGAGCAGCAGCAGTTTTTCCTACTGTGGAGCTGTCGCAGAGTGTAGAACCCCTGTCATTTCCACTGTCAGGGGATGTCCTGAACAAAACTAAGAGTCCCCTTACAAAGGTGAGCATAAAAACTGCAATTCAGACAGCCTTTTTTGTGGGCCATGGTGGAAAGAGATTCTTGTTTTTCATCCCTCATGAAACTCTGAAAAGGCTAGTCATATTCTGTTGCGCAACAAAAAGGAGGAAAACTAACACTGTTTTTAGAAAGTACAGCTGAATATGGTAAGTCATATGTTGTGTATTCAGTTTGATGGGTGTAAATTCTTTATAAATATTCCATATTTTATTTATTGACTAAGTATGCGAGTCATACTGCAGACTGTAATACGTTATATATTCTCTGAATTGCATGGGTAGTAATAGTGTGCTGAGAAGGCAGAAAGAAGTAAATACGTTATAGGGTTAACAATGTACAGTTTGGTAAATTGAGGCCTGACCCCAGGCTATTAAACAGAGGGAATGATACAGAAGGAGAGTAATAATAATGAAACTGTGAACAAAGGAGAGATTTTGACTTTTCTGACCACCATCTAAAGGGTAGCTAATACATGGTGTGAAGTGGATTTTAAATGCGAGGATTTCTCTTCCAGTGTCTCAATTTTCTTTTTGGTCTTTTAGGAGGGAGGGATGATCAGCTGTTCTCTCTTTCTCTCTCTGTTTCTCTTTGTCAGATTGCTGTTTCAACAAATCCTTGGTTCTTTTCCCGCACAGCAAACACAAAAGGAGAAAAGCTTTTAGTCCTATTGCATTTAGCCTTGTGTGGTTACCTTTCTACTAGGAGAGCTTTCATATTTCAAATAACTACTGTCTTTCAGCCATATGTAAAGAGTGAAGGATAGGGGCTTTGAAGGAAAAAGAAAAAAGATTTTCCAGAGCAGCAATCATCTGCTTTTCAGATTTTAATGTGTTTTTTTTTTCTTCCTGTAAGAGCAATATTGACTAATAGGAGAAGGGGTGTACTCAAGGAATGCAGAAAGGGCTGAGTTTGGGCTGATGTTCACCTGGCCTTGAAATTTAGGAGCAGAGTGCGATTCCAAAGTCAAGGCTCTGGTCTTGCCTAGAGGTCTGTGCTGGAAAACGCCTAGTTAGCTTTTTATAACCACTATTTTTTAATTGTCAAAGTAGTCTCCTGAAAGCAGTATTTCCTAAGGCGGGTAGCACCATTTTGTAGATATAAAGGCTTTAATGACGATGGAAGGATCGAGTCATTTGTCTGCAGCAACCTTAACCAAACCTTAGTTTACAGAGTAACTGGAAGACTATAAAAAAATTACTGCAGTAGGTAAATCTGGGGGGTGAAATGTATGGTACCTGAAAAAAAGGACTAATAATTGTTATTTGGATATAGGGATGCAGTAGAAATCTAGGCCTCACGGTGCTGTCCACCGTATTAAGCATGTAAAAAAAGGCAACCGCTAGCATAAAGTGCTGGTTATATGAGACAGACAGATTGGGAGCAGAAGAAGAGAGAGGTGACTTGTCTGTTGTCTCTTTCATCAACTAATGATAAAGCATAATGAGAAGAGATGTGCATAATAGGAAAATATCATGGGTTCTGTGTCAATTCTAGAGTTTCATGC